CCTCAAATTTGCACATAATATACCTGTACATACAAAACTGTCTCTATTGTAATATACCTGCACATACAATTGTTAATTTAGATATTTTTATTCCTTATTTACTTGTTCTATTTTTTTATTTTTTTATTTTTTATTATCTGTGTTTTCTGTTCTGTCACTGTCATTCTGTTACACTGTGGAAGCTTCTGTCACGAAAACTAATTCCTTGTAATAAAGCTCACACGCACACACACACACACACACAGACACACACACACACACACACACACACACACACTGGCTCTGCGTGTTACGCTGCGGACTGTCATCACCTTTCAACGGGTGTGAAATGTTCTCAGTGGAGCTGGAAACATCTCAGTACCGTCCCCTACAGCAGCTCTGTCTCACTCTAATAAACCTGCATCATCACCTGTATCATCAGCACCTGTCTCATCCTTCTGCCAGCCCAGATGAAAAGTCTAACTTTGATGGATTGACTGTAATAACTGTATGAGAGTCTGAGGGGAAACACACACACACACACACACACACACACACACACGTTTACTTATATCTAAATGGGGACATTCCATAGGCGTAATGGTTTTTATACTGTACAGACCATATATTCTATTGTCCTACACCAACCCTACCCCTAAACCTACCCCTCACAGGAAACTTTGTGCATTTTTACAATTAAAAAAAAACTTTGTTTACTTTATTTTATAACAGTTTTACAAATGAGGACGTCCCCAAAGGGAGGTTTTTGGAGACTTTGTCAGGTTTAGCTCACTTTTGGGTACAAATTTGTCCCCAAAATATGGTTAAGTAGGTACACACACACACACACACAGACACACACACACACACACAGACACACACACACACACACAGACACACACACACACACACAGACACACACACACACACACAGACACACACACACACACACAGACACACACACACACACACAGACACACACACACACACACAGACACACACACACACACACAGACACACACACACACACACAGACACACACACACACACACAGACACACACACACACACACAGACACACACACACACACACAGACACACACACACACACACAGACACACACACACACACACAGACACACACACACACACACAGACACACACACACACACACAGACACACACACACACACACAGACACACACACACACACACAGACACACACACACACACACAGACACACACACACACACACACGCTCACACACACACGCTCACACACTGATTTCATCATCTCTTGTATCTTTAGCTCACAGACTCTCTCTCTCTCCTCTGACACCAGTGTGGACAAGTTCATTTTAATCTGTTCTCTCAGGAACAGAAATGTTTACAGACCCAGAAACACAGAAGAGATCAAATGAAGAGCAGCACTAAATCCCACACATTCGTGACTGTTTACATGTGCAACAACATTCTGATATTAAGACAACTAATCAATAAAATCAATCATGAAAATATCTGATGGGAAAACCACCAGTCATATAATCTTACAGCTCTGAATAAAGCATTTCTGTGGACAAAACACACCGGTGAATCAGCAGAGGACACAGACTGAGCTGCTGAAGGAAATTCCAGTCCCGGATTCAGATCATCAGCTCGTTAGGGTTAGATCCATGATCCATGAACCGAGGCCGTCAGATAAGAGAACCATTGTTCTAAAGGACTCAAATACAGAAGCATCCTTACAAAGTACTGATGCAGAGCCACATTTGTGTGTAGTTCATAATCAGACTCTACTAATGATGTGTTTCCAGTATAATGTGTATTTTTGTACAGTCTGATTCTGATCACAAAGTGTGCACACATTTCTGCTGATTTCTTCATCCATCCATCATCTATTCAGAAAAACATGACAGAATAAACAGGAATTTAAACCAGACTTTATGCTAATATTAAAGATAAAATCCCGTCTACACGAGAATACAGAGGATGTCGGTGAGGTCACACAGAGGTCACAGGTGACCGCTGTCTGGACAGTGACATAACAGGCCATCAAATGATGATCCTGCTGTCTTCCAGACAGACCATTGATCCTCCCTCCATAGGAGTGACACAGAAATAGTCATCAGGAACTGTTACGCACAACAGAACATGAAAATTAAAAGCTGATGAATTTGTGTGCACTTTCAGATGGACGCTGGATCATATTTTAGAGTTTGGTTTGTCTAATGATGTCCTGTATGTGAGTTTGAGGTTCATGTTAGGACAGGCTTCACTAAAGACACACAAAAACAACAAAGGGAATCCTGCCTGAGGAAAGACTGATGCCAACAGCAGCTGCATAACTCAGATCGTTCTGTTATTAGCTGCTGTAAAGCCATCAGTGTGGAAATCAAGCCTTTAATAATACTGAACATTCGGCAGCATCAACAGGGAAATCACGTGGCGGTGGGACATGCTTCTACATCAACGAAAGCTGGTGTACAGCGTTAAAAGAAGATGTGCTGTCCTGATCTAAACACTTTTCATCAACTGTAAGCCGTTCTATTCACTGCGGGAATTTTCCTCGTTTATTCTCGTAAGTGTTTACATTCCACCGCAAGCGCACAACAACTGGCTGATCAAATCACAGACATTATTACAACAACACCCAGACTCTGTTCTAATCATTCTCGGGGACTTTAATAAAGCAAATCTCTCCAGTGAACTGCAAAAAATACAGACAGCATGTTACATTTCCCACTAGAGACAGTAATATACTGGACCCATGCTACACAACAATAAAGGATGAATATCACTCTGTCCCACGAGCAGCTTTGGGGCTCTCTGATCACTGCCTGGTTCATCTTATACCGACCTACAGGCAGAAACTGAAATCAGGACTGTAAAAAGATGGACTAATGAAGCAGAGTGGGATTTACAAGCCTGCTTCGACTGCACTGACTGGAGTGTTTTTGAAGCAGGTGCCACCAATCTGAATATTAGGAACTACTCCAAAAAACTGAGAATCCAGTTTTCAGCCAATGACCCTGCGCTTCAGTGTGGAAAGGACTGAAAGACATCACCAATTTCAAGACAGCATCCCCCAGCACTGTGTTGGATCACAGCTGGCCAACGATTTGAATGAGTTCTATTGCAGGTTTGAAAAACCCTGTCTCACACCCCACACCCGTTCTGTCCATCTCTCAACATCTGTGGTCATGAAGTCGTTTGAGAGACTGGTGTTGGCTTATCTGAAGGACATCACTAGACCCTTGCTGGACCCCCTGCAGTTGGCTTACCGAGCAAACAGGTCTGTGGATGATGCAGTGAACATGGGACTGCACTTCATCCTGCGGCCTCTGGACAAATCAGGGACTTATGTGAGGATCCTGTTCATGGACTTCAGCTCCGCTTTCAACACCATCATCCCATCATTCCTCCAGACCAAACTAACCCAGCTCTCTGTTTCTAGCTCCATCTGTCAGTGGATCACCAGCTTCCTGACAGACAGGCAGCAGCTAGTACAGACTGGGGAAATTCTCATCCAGCACCCGCAGCATCAGCACTGGCGCTCCTCAGGGCTGTGTCCTCTCCCCGCTGCTCTTCTCCCTCTACACCAACGATTGCACCTCTACTGACCCCTCTGTCAAGCTCCTGAAGTTCACAGACGACACTACACTTATCAGCCTCATCCAGGACAGAGATGAGTCTGCTAACAGACAGGAGGTTAAAGAGCTGGCTGTCTGGTGCAGTCTCAACAAAATGGAGCTCAACACGCTCAAAACAGTGGAAATGATCGTGGACTTCAGGAGAAACCCCCCTGCACTCCCCCCACTCACCATCATGGACAGCACTGTGGCTGCAGTGGAGTCATTCAGATTCCTGGGCACCACAATCTCTCAGGACCTGAAGTGGGACACTCACATTGACTCCATTGTGAAAAAGGCCCAGCAGAGGCTGTATTTCCTTCACCAGCTGAGAAAGTTCAACCTGCCACAGGAGCTGCTGATTCAGTTCTGAGTCTGTCCTGTGCACTTCAGTAAGTGTCTGGTTCGGCTCAGCTACCAAAACTGACCTCAGAAGACTACAGCCTATAGTCTGGACTGCTGAGCGAATCACTGGTACAACCTTCCACGCTCTCCCAGAACTGCACTCATCCAGAGTGAGTAAAAGAGCTGGCAAAATCACTTTGGACCCCTCACATCCAGCACACTTAATCTGTGAACTACAGAGCGCTGAGCACCAGAACGGCCAGACATAAGAACAGTTTCTTCCCTCAGGCAGTCCTTCTCATGAACAGTTAACTTGTCATTAAACGTTTAAAACACAACACTATTTACACATTTAACACACGATACTCCTTATTCACATTTCCATGCATTTGTACATATCATACCTGTACACACAAATACCATCTATTCTCTATTTTTGTCTATTGTGTTTTTTTTTAAATAGTTGTATATTATTATTTCCTATTTTTACTATCTGTGACTTGTCACTGTCATTCTGTTACACTGTGGAAGCTTCTGTCACCAAAACAAATTCCTCGTATGCGTAAACACACCTGGCAATAAAGCTCTTTCTGATTTCTGAATTATTCAATGCATCATTTCTGCTGGATCGGTTTTGCACATTAAATAAAGTGTTCTTAAGGTTGCTATCTAGATTTAACTAAATATGAAGGCAGATGATGCACAGCAACAGAGAATTACCAAACCCCTTCATTAATACATTCCCTCGGACTAATCGTTCTGAGATACTCAATGAAATAAATTTCAACCAGAAATAACTGAGAATGAACTGAATTTAGGATGAATTGATCAGCCGTTCCCGTCAGATTTGTATATATCACAGCTGTTTGGTTGATGTCATATAAACTGCTGACTGGAGCTCAAATCACCTCATTTTCAGTGCGTCTCCAGATCAGTTTAGTGAGGAAATTCAAAGCATTATAAGACTTTATAGTAAAAACGATATAGTAACATTCTTTTCTGTGAATGGGTTTTTTGTTTTTATGGATTTCTGCGCTTGTCGGAAGGAGGGACTAAAAATAATGTGTTTTTTGAACATTAAAGCATGTCACCATATTCTGTTACACCAAATACACAAAATAATGATCTTTAAAAAAGCATCATATGACCCCTTTAACATGATAAAATGTGTTAAACAGACAAATACTGTATTCTTACTGTCAAAAAATCTTGAATACTGTAAAAACTGCATAATGGCACAACCACAGTCCTTTCACTGGAAAACATGGGTGAAAATCTCAAGCTACAAACAGAATGTCTGAATTAAAGAAATAGTTTAGCCAAAAATGAAAATTAGGCTAACATCCAAACATCTAAGATTAGGATGAGTTTGTCTCTTCGTCAGGTTTGTAGAAATGTAGCATTATAATCCATAATAACGCTTCCTCCAGTGAAAAAGTGCATCTGCTGTTGTCTCTCACATCAAAATCCAGCCACATATTAGTTTAGAGCTGTTTAAACGCTGCTTGATCTGCGCAGATTTCTCTCCTGATTCAGACCAGAACACTTTTTCAGTGGAGGAAGCGTTATTATGGATTATGGCCTCGTATTTGAGTTAAAAACATCTTAATGCTGGATTTGTTTCAGCTTTTGTCTTCTCCAGATGTTAACTGATGGACTGGAGTGCTGTGGATTACTTGTGGATTATTGTGATGTTTTTATCAGCTGTTTGGACTCTCATTCTGACGGCACCCATTCACTGCAGAGCATCCATTGTTGAGACACTGATGCAATGCTACATTTCTACAAACCTGATGAAGAAACAAACTCATCCTGATCTTGGATGGCCGGAGGGTGAGCAGATTTTTAGCAAATGTTTATTTATTGGGTCAACTATTCCTCTAATACAATCCTGCAGGCGTTCAGACTACAGGAAAATAAAATTGATTTAATACGGTCGGGGTCAGACTCTCAATACAGCAAATGCTGTATCTGACCCGAACCGAACTAAATCAGAAACTCATTCATCCTGCTGCTCCAGAGTCACACAGTCAGCTGTCAATGCGGCTCAAACAGGAGGAACATCTTGAAGCTTGTTTGCGTATATGTGGACAGAATGCCGTTTTTTCCCCCATGGAAATACAAAGATGAAATTTGGTAGAATCTTAATGCAGCTCTTCATAGTGATGATAAAAATCATCACAAATGTAGTCCACATGTCGTGTGTGCTTCACTCTTAAAGATAAAGGTCAGTGATGCCACAGAAGAACCTTTTAGTGATCCACCTTTTTCTTAATGTGAAGAACATCATCTAAAGAAACTTTTTCCACTATAAAGTACCTTTAGTGCAGTGGAAATGGATCATCATGGAACCATCATCCATGGGAACTTTATTTTTAATATTCCAAATCTTCTGGAGATTTTCAGTGAATAATGGCTTAAATTTGGACCTGTTCCGCATACAAAACTATATCGTATGACTTGGAATACAGCGCACGAGTCATACGGATGACTGTCGTGATGCTTTCACCGTCATTATGAATTATGAAGAGCTGCATAAAGGTTCTTCAGAACTTCTCTCGGAGCTCCTACCTTCCAGACAGCAGGTCCTCCACAGGCCAGAATGGGTCATCACCTCCTCGTTCTTCTTGCTGGTCTCGTTCTCGTTAGTAGTCTTTATTTTGCAGACCCCGCGCGAGTAGAGCCAGTAGTCCGTACCCACCGCGATGGTCATCAGACTGAAGGCGGCGAAGGCACCCACCGTGGTCAGCAGCATCTGGACGCCGCGCTCAACCACACCCATGTTGCCGCATTCCACGAAAGGGGAGCCCCCTTTCCTCTTGATGTATAGGAAATAAATATTTGTGGATTTAAGGGGACAAAATAAGAAAAAAACGGCCCGAGAGACCGAGGGCCCAAGAGGGATCGTGGATTAAACTAGAAGTAAGACAAACAGCAGGCCGCTTCTACCTGCATCTACATATTAATGCAGCTCATTAGTCTGATTATGATGAACTTGAGTGACACTCCAAATATTAAATGGGAAAGGGAACATTCTGGCAAAAGATAAACTCATCTTCACTCAATCTGGCCTGTTCTCGATCCAACTGAGAGAGACTCAGCCTTCAAATGAAGGCTCCTGGTGGAAATGTGAACCCATTACGGTACCGAACCGCCGCCGTCCGTGCGCGCATCCATGAATCTAATAATCCAACAATGGATTCGGACGAGTGATTAAAACCGATCCGTTTGAATCAAAAACAGTTTGAGGTGAAAATCATTCAGGGCTGCGATGCGTCAATTAAACCAATCCATCCTGGCGATGAAAAAAAAATTAAATAAATAAATAAATAAAAGACACATAAAATCACTCGCTTGCCTTTTCCCTAAAATTCTGGTCTCCAGTTTCCATAGGTGGCCTTTATTCCGTCGAATGCTTCTTGAGGAAAAGCGCGAGCGAGCATCACGCGACGGGAATCCGGTGAGGAGAAGCGACGCTCCACAGCAGCCCTGCGGTTCTCCCGTCCGCCGAACCGGTCACATCACACCCGGTGCCCGATCCGCAGCCCACCCGCGCCATCAACCACATGCACAAGTGAAAAAAAACCCCCGAATCACGACGGATGAACACCGAACGGACGAGCGCTGCTCCTCTCACGGCGCTGAAGGAACGGCTGATGGACGGACGCCGGAGGAAAGCGAGCATCTGATTCTATTCCGTCTTTCTGCTCGGTGTCGGGTTCCAGCAGATGGAGGTTCTCGTCTGTCTGTCTGTCTGTCTGCGGGGCCGCTTGTTGCTGCGACACTCTTCGATCTCGCTTTAATTTGGCGTCAGTTCTTCAGAATTCCAGAACGATGCGGATGTTATTCCTGCAGATGCGCGAGGAACATCTGGAGCTGAAGGCCTCATCTCAGTCTCTGAGACCTCAGATCTGGCACTAGATCACATGTTAGGTTTCAGTGAATTAAAACTAAAGAAATATGTAACATTTATAGGCGACTACTGATATGTTGCAGTGGTGAGGATCACTGGAGGACTGATGGATGTTCTGCAGCTGGTGCTGAAGCTGGACGGATCCTGCTGTTACCAAGGCGACTGTCTCCCTCTTGCGATGGAGTCAACATTAGAGATGTGTGAGCATTACAGCAGCCAACCATTAACCTTGGTTTACATGTCGGCACGCGTAATGCTCCTGACAGCCGTACTGTAGTCTCTGCATTACTGCTCAGATCGTCTCAGTGAGGTCAGGATGAGAGCAGCGAGACAGCAGGAGCACCTCAGACAGACATCAGTGCTCTAGAGCAGAGCAGAGGATACGCTTTACATTCAGGACGCGACGAGCAGCAGCCAGTGCGGCACACAGAGCCAGAGATCAAGAAGATTTATGAATTTAGAATACAATGCAGTGACGTCACGTGAAAGCAGGCCCGTGATTGGCTGCGGGTCTGGCTGATGGTGGTGCAGTTGATGTGTCTGTTCCTCATGTCTCCATGTCTCTCTCACACACACACACACACACACACACACACACACACAGACACACACACACACACACACACACACACACACAAAGCAAAACACCAAAGGCGCGTTCACTGGTATGGCACAGGTCACTTACACAAGCAGAAATATGATATGAAGATCAAATTTGCATCAAATAAAATACCTTTTTTTTATAGAAGGCATTGAATGAGAGAGAAACAAAAAAATAGAAGAACATAAACTGAAATTAAATAATGCAATAAAATGTAAAAGTAAAGTTAGCACTTAATTTATGGGTTGCACATGCAGCATTTTCTGCTCTGAGGATCTCTCTCTCTCTCTCTCTCTCTCTCTCTCTCTCTCTATATATATATATATATTCAACATATTTACAAATATTTACAAATTTAATTTAATTGCTTAAAAAGAGCTCTCTACATCATAAAACCATTCAACAAATGTAAGTCTCTTCGATTGATTGACAATTGCTAGGACTCATTTCTCAATACTTAAGTCTCTTTATCAAAACTCTTCACACTGTTCTTCTAACCTGCTTTCAGTTTGGCACCGCATTTAATTTTACATCAAAATGCAATAAAAGTAGCAAAACATTTCATACAGTCTCAAATCAACCAATTCTTCCGAAACACTAGCAACAAACACGTTTTCTATGAGGGTTAGATGACAGTGTTAATAATCAGCTGCATATGAAAACAATAGAAGTCTACGGAGCGTCTCTTTAGATGGTGTGGCTCAATCAGAGTATCTGGCAGCTCTCACATGCTGGTTTATTTGTCCATTCTGTCATCAAACACACAATTCACAGCAGCCATTAGACGGATTACAGCAACTGATCAAACAGCCATCTGTCTGTCTGTGTGTGTGTGTGTCTCTGTCTGCTTTATTCCTCGCAGCATCATTGATAATTCACCATCAGCGTCGTGTCTGTCTCTCCGTCAGTGTGTGAGTGTGTATGAGAGTATCTGAGCTCAAATGCTGAGTGTAAACTGAGCATTTTGAAGTGTTCCTGCAGCTCAAACAGGAGATCATGGTGCTGGCAACCCTAAAGTCAAGATTCGATTCCCAGAGAATGAATGAACTGATCAAATGTGTGCCTTCAATGCAACGTAAGCCACTTTGGATAAAAGATTCTGACAAATGCATGAGTGAAAATGATGCTGTGGCACACACACACACACAGTGTTCTACAGCAGTCAGCTGAACATGTGAGTGCAGGTGTGTGTGTGTGTGTGTGTGTGTGAGTTTGACTGGAGCAGACAGGCGGCTGCAGATGTGCTGACTGTCCAGTTTCCATGGGAACAACTTCATCTGCGCAGCATTCATTCATTCATGTGTCAGACTGTGTTCATGTGCGTCCTTCACGCCTGTGCTCACCTCAGCAGCTTCTACTGCATGTGTGTGTGTGTGTGAGAGAGTGTGTGTGAGAGTGAGTGGTGTGTGTGTGTGTGAGAGAGAGTGTGTGTGTGTGTGAGAGAGTGTGTGTGTGTGAGTGAGTGGTGT